GGTTTCTTTCTTGTGTGTATTAATGTGAAATCTTCCATAATGTATTTATGGAGAGGAATGGAGATGGAAAATGTTGGCACTTTATTGAAGACACTGTACTGAAAAGTCTGTCTAAAGAAAATGGGAAAATGAAGAAGAAAAAAATAATGAAGCATGGAAGAACCCTGTCTGTTGACTTATAGGCTTTAATGCTGTTGTGTCTGTTGCATTTGTATTCTCTTTCTGAAAGCACAGATTTTGTCCATCTTTGACAAAGGGCACAGCATTCGAAAGCAAGCGGAGAAAAGGAGCAAATGCCAATTTTGCACTACCTCAAAGAAGACATTCATTAAGTATTTGAAAGGGAGACTTTCATAGATGAATTTCTTAGAGGAGAAACTAAAATCCATGCACTTAAATGAATGTTTTAATCCCATGATGAAAGATGATGAAATAAAATAGGTATTTTGTATAAATTTTGTCATTTCTCTCTTTTGTATGGTTATGTTAAGATTTGGTCAGTAGAGGGCGCTCTTTCCCAGCTGCGCTTCAGCTCTAGTCTGCAGGAATGCTGGTCTGAACTGGCTTCTTTGATGTTATAGAGTTGGTGTAAATGTGGGTGAAAGTGCATTCAGAACCTTATGCAAGTGTTTAGCGTCTTTGCAACATCAGGACAAGATGTTGACATACTGGAAGAATGTTTTGAACATACTTGTGTCAGTCTTTAAAGTGAAGTGACATGTGGCCAAGTATGGTGACCCATTCTTGGAATTAGTGCTCTGCATTTATCCCATCCAAAGTGCACACACACCGTGAACACACACCCGGAGCAGTGGGCAGACATTTTTTTGCTGCGGCGCCCGGGGAGCAGTTGGGGACTCTGTGCCTTGCTCAAGGGAACCTCAGTTACGAGTCCGACTCTCTAACCATTAGGCCACGACTTTCCCCAATAATGCTATAATGCCTATAAAATTGTGTACCAAAAAACACATTTAAACGAATGTGGAATACTAGCAACATTTGCTCTATGGCATTTTGGACATGAAAGATATATGTTTTAATTGCTGTGGACAATGTATATACAGTACCTTTAAAAAGTGCTCTTTATTTTGCAGTTTGATGGTAAATGAATGTGATTTTCAGATATCTACAGCTCCCTAAAATGGTTCAGACTTTACCAACACAATAAAGAACAATAAATTAAAGAAAGTTCTACAGTACTTTACTCTAGCAAAGCAAACACTGTATCAGAAAAGCTAACCTGGAAGAAGGGGGCGTCAACAGTGCACCACAGAACACTGAATATAGCTGAAGAATCTGAGCTCAGGTAACCTGAGAAAGACATAAGAAATAAATTCAGCAGCTCCACAGCGCCACACAGTGTCTCAATTGTAGAACTGATCACAACCACAAAACAATAGCAGTCGGAGGCCGATCACAGCCAAACTTCTCTAATGCATGAAGACATGATAGAAACATAAAAGGATGTGGACTGTCCTCAACAATTTGACCAGGTAAAAGCCATCAGCCAAAACCTGTTTATTTGGAGCAGCTCTTACTTACAGTTTACAGTTCACCCAAAATATATATTCTGTCATCATTTACTCGTCTTCATGTTATTCCAAACACTTTGAGAAGTGCGATCAGAAATATGGATTATTGTCTATGGACTTTGTAGAGAAGGTCTGGGATCTCAAGCTAGAAATAAAGGAAACCATGTAGTGTCTTACAACAAAACATCACTTAAATTTCCTATAAGAACAGAAAAGTCAAAAGTCTCTATGCCATTCCGTTTGTTCCAAAAAAGCTGGCTTCTTTGTACAGTACATTTATGTCTACTGTTTTATCTCTGTGGTCTGTTTGTGTTTGTCTGCTTGTGTCGTCCTACCTGTTGTGCATTAGTTTTATGCTTTATATTACTGCTCTCAGTGAACTTTCTTTAACACATTTAACAGATATCCATATAAACAAATATAATTTTTTTTTAAATAATGAGGTTTCTAAAACTTTTAGAAGCATTTTTCTTTCTGTTCTATAAACTTGAATCTACAGACCCTAGGTTTAATCTTCGTTCTTTGTCGTAATATTTTTTTAGAAACAAACCGATTGTGTTTTGGCGCAAACATATGGCATAACGTTTGGAAATAGTATTCCATAAATGACAGAACAAGATGGCATAAACAAAGAACATACACATCATCCTTTATTAATTTATCTTTACAAGTGCAAAATGATTGTAGACATGGACAAATGCACAAACAGTCCACAAAAACTCCTTTTTGGCACAAATGGAACCTCATAAGTCTAAGTCTGTATATTATTGAATATTCTGCTTTATGATGAGGCCAGTTTAAGACTTATCTACTCACAAAAAAACTGTATTGGTCATTTTATGTTGGTCAGAAGGTCATAGGTCTGGCTTACCTTTATTGAAACTTGATGTTGTCAATTAGAGAAGCCTATCAACAAAGGTGTCTGGCTATGATGTGATTGACCTTCCAATTTTTCTGTCACAGAGGAGCAGAGATGTTAGGACTGAACTACATGAGTCACAGTTAAAGCTCCTTTCGTACAGATGCACATGTAAGTGCAGGTAGACTATATTCTATAAACTGGATGGAATAAAACTGGATGAATCTGCCGAGGCCCTTTTCTCCTCTTTGGCAACTGATAATTGTTTCACTTCCCAGCGGGATGGTGTACTTTGTCAGCAATCTTTTGACTAAGTGCCAAAACTGACTAACATGCCAAACGGGGACAATGATTGCTCCTTGACCCTGGAGCACTGAAGGAACACCCTGATGAATTGTCATCATTTGATTCATATAGAGAGATCGTTAGTATAATGGATATATACAGTAGTTCTTCCCCTGCAGCTGAACTCCTAAAAAGTTTTCTTAAGGTTACTGATGGAAGGAATTTAGTTTCTTATCTTTTTCAAATGATAGAATGTTCCAGTATTGCTCCATAATCTGTTGTTCAGTTCACAGAATTATCTCCAAAAAACCCTCAGGGTTTGTTCATCAAATCTATGTAAAGTGAATTCATTTGCATTTTAAACTGCTAGTTTGTGTAAATCCAAAAAAATCTTCTTTTTTTTTTCCCAGTGATACTAACAGTGACCTGAGAGGAGTCACGTCTGTGCAGATAGAGCTAGATACAGATCTCCTGGTAGAATTGCACAGAAAAGTTTCCTGATCATTATAAACACATGATTGGTGGTTTTCTGGTCACCCCATTTAATGCTGATTACTCAACCCTGCTAAATGTCTCAAAGGTTATTTTTCGTCAAGCTAGATTTACATTTCAAATGCTGCAACGTATATGTTTTCGGTGACCTGAATCGCACACCTTGTGTCACAAGTTTGACTATACAAGTAATGTCTTAACCAGCATTTCTGACTTTGTGAATAAAAAAGTTATTCAGAGTTATTAACTATACTGTTCAAAGTTTGGGGTCGGTAAGACTTTATAATATTTTTGAAAATCTCTTGATGCTTGAAAATATAGGAAAAACCGTAATATTGTGAAATATGATTACAATTTAAAATAACTGTTCTCTATTTGTATGTTTTAAATTCCTGTGATGGCAAAGCTGAAATTTCAGCATCATTACTCCAGTTTTCAGTGTCACATGATCCAAAATGCTTATTTGGTGCTCAAAAACATTTCTTATTTCAGTGTTTTACTTTTATGTATTGATATGAGCATATATTTATTTATTTTATTATTCAGCATTACTACCCAGCATTGCCTGTTTGTTGTTTTTCTCCCCCTGTGTCATAAACATAAATATAAAAAAATAATTTCAAATAAATTATTTATATGATTTATATTATTTTCAATGAAGAAAACAGTTGCACTGCTTAATATTTTTGTGAAAACCACGGTGCATTTTTTTAGGATTCTTTGATGAAAACAAAGCAAAAAAAAATGTCATTTACTTGAAATATAAAACTTTTGTAACATTATAAATGTTTTTACTGTCACCTATGATCAATTTAATGTCATTTCTGAATAAAAGTATTAATTACTTAAAAACCAACAATTTTTGAAAGAAGTGTAAACACCACAAGCATAAAGAAGAAAGGCCAGTCCTCAGCGGGTGACCAGTATGCTGAGCTTGACCTCAATAAACACTTAACCAATATAGATTTAGATGCAACGTTAATCTGAACAAATCATGTTTGCCTCTCGCTCAAGAAGAAACTTGCAGAACCTTGACTATGACCAATACAGCGAGCATGCTAGAAATATGTAAAACAAGGCCACCAGCTTATGAAACAGTGCTGGGTATTATTTATGTGAACTGACAATCCCAAGATGATAAGCAGCATCATTTCCAGTAAACACCATGAGTCAGTGTGGAACCTTTGTGACGAGCTGGATCAGTGGTTCGACTCATGCCATTTTTACTGCGACTTTTTTTTCCATTGTTTTTTTTTTGTCCATTTGTTATTCCTCATGAAAACACAGCAGATCCTCTAATCAGCCATTGTTCTTTTTCAAGGCCCCTGCGCATGTGTATATGATAAAAGGGAGACAGAAGAACTATGTCAAAGGAACTTTGAAGAAACAGGATGGTAAATGTTGATTCAGAAGCCTGATCAGAATCTGACATATATCATCTCAACTACATATGTAAACCTGTTTTTATATTTGTAAATGCCACTGCATAGCTGTCTAAAATGTACAGTTCAATAAACTCTGGTAAAACATCACTGAACTCTAAAATGCTGACAAGCACATGTCCAAAATCGGACTGATTTTTGTTCTTATCCCTCATTCCTCTTGTTCTTTCTTATCACTTGCTTCTCTCAACTCTGGCTGCATTCTCACCCAGAGCCCCAGAGGACAGCTTTTCCAAATCACAAACATTAAGCAAACATGTGCCACATCTGGTAAAGAAAAAGCAGAGAGACAAAGGCAGAGAAAGAGAGAGAGAGAAAGGGATGAGGGAGAGTCTCTCTTCTGCTGACTGGAGGGTATATAAGACAGTACATTGTCTCTGTGGTCAGTATCGCTGTGAGCTCACTGTTACAGCAACTGCAGCATTTCTCATTCAGCATGCAGGATCACAATCACAGAGGGGCTCTTCTCACCTGGTGCCTTGTGTTTTTGGTGCTTATCCAGCAGGTAATTATTTTTAATATTTGAAAAATTAATTGTTCACAGCTCCGTAAACTGTTGACTTTTGATATTTATATTATTGTGTTCACTTGGGAATCTTTAAAAAAAAATACTTTTGATTACCTAAAATACTATATTATTAACCTGTACTATAAAAATAATAAATTATATTAAGGCGAGACACTGCAGGTTAATAGGGTAAAAAAAACAACAACTAATAGTTATCGCCTTACTTACCCAGCTGATTGATTACAGTGATAATTGCAAACATTTTTTGTATTGCAAGTTTTCTAAAATGGTAGGTTTAAATATGCAAATTAGTAATTATTTAATGAAATATGCGCTAATTTTTATATTATTGTGTTCACTTGGGAATCTTTTAAAAAAAATACTTTTGATTACCTAAAATACTATATTATTAACCTGTAATATAAAAATAATAAATTATATTAAGGCGAGACACTGCAGGTTAATAGGGTAAAAAAAACAACAACTAATAGTTATCGCCTTACTTACCCAGCTGATTGATTACAGTGATAATTGCAAACATTTTTTGTATTGCAAGTTTTCTAAAATGGTAGGTTTAAATATGTAAATGAGTCATTATTTAATGAAATATGCGCTAATTTGCATACATTTCTTGTACAAAACTCTAAACACTGGATGATGTCAGTTTCAAAATTCTTGTTTAATTTTTTGACATATTAGAATCAAAAGTTTCTCAAAAGAATCTCATTTTTGTCACTCCATAATTCAGAAAATGCTTCGAACGGACAGAAAACAGAAATATTTTTACAATTTTGGGGGGAATAAAATGTTGCATATAATCAAGCAAATTATATATGAACAAATCCCTCAGTAAAAACCTTCAGGATATAGACAGGAATAAAAATGTAAAGTTTGGTGTGTGTAAGTGCTACTGAAGTGGAGATTTATGGCTCAGAGTAGGAGAAAAAACTCTTTAAAAATATGCATTTTAATTGAAATCTATTGACACAAATAGTGCTATAAAAGAAACACTTAACAGTGTCTTTTGGATGTTTTCTTTCCACTAGTCTTAAAAACACTTTATGAAAAAACAAAGAGCCCAAAATCTCAAACTTGACAGGTGCATGAAAAAGCAGTGTTTTTGCCTGCAGTGTCTCCCCTTAAGTATTATATTTTTATATTATTGCTTAATTTTTTCAAATATTATATTTTAAAGGAGCCACGATGCTGTCAAATATAATTTTGTTTTAGTTCTACTTGTGTTCATTCATTTAGATTTTGTCGAGACAATAAAATGACATATGACTCATAAAGCATAACTACATAAACTACGACGAAACAGTTGTAGAATTTTATCTCTTTTATGAAACAGATATAACATTTTATTAGAGTAGAGCTCATGACGCATTGTGCGTTTCAGGTGACCTGCAATCCTGTGCCAAAGTTGGACACACCTTCAACTTCTGTGCAGGAAGTTCAAAGGTCACTGAAGAGAACAGCTCGAATGACCCCGTTATGGAGGATCATGGGTACTAAACCTCACGGCGCCTACTGCCAGAACAACTACGAGTGCTCGACAGGAATATGCAGGTCAATGCATTTTTTGTCCTGCTAACAATACTTTCAAACATATTTTTGAAACAAGAAATGTAAGAACCGGATCTCAAGTTTTAATTTGTTCCACAGGAAAGGCCACTGTTCCTACAGCCAACCGATTAATTCCTAAAATGAAGACTCCTTCCTTCTCTGATCTGATGTTTCTACACCATCATGCATGACGAGAGCTTGATTCAGTGAGCAACAGGAGGCAACCGAATGTGCAATGCAGTTAATCATCAGTTAGACATATAGTAAGCCACAAATGAGGCAATAGGTAATGTTCTGCAAGACTGTGCTTATCATAAGGTACATAACACGTGGACTCTTTTGAGAGAGCAACATAAACCTCATAATCCACCTGCACAGTGGTATTGCAATATACAAGAAGCATTATGAGTGGGATTTTCGATTTACATATTTCAGGTGGTGCTGGGAAGGTGATACAGTAGTTTGGGCCAGTTTCCCTGAACCAGATTAAGTCCAGTCCCTGTCCTGGATGTCCACTGAGCAGAGTATGGCCTTTGGCACTAATAGCTCATCTCAGGACTAAGGTTAGTCCAAACATGGAAACTGGTCTGCTGTATTAGATCACGTTACTTGTAAGCTATATATGCAAGTGTAGGCAAACGTGTCGGCTAGTGCCTTAGCTCAACCCAAATGTCGTTGAACCAAAGCTAGTCTGGAGAAAAAGGGACAGAGAAAGTGCAAAGGTTGCCATTATTGATTGTGCCTAGATATTATTAACCATTTGCCTCCATCCTTTGCCTTTATCTGTTTGCTCACGTTTGTTTTATTTAATTTTAGACTCATTTACCTGTCACTATTTATATACAAGTGTCTCCACCTCATCTCATAGATCAGGATTTACAAGCATCGTTTCAGCATGCGACTACTTATTTATTGTATTTCTCTTTTAATTTTGTATGACTCAACAGTTCATTTAAAGCTCTTTTTTATGTATCTGACTATATAAGACTATAAGATTTATATGCTATATTTACTGTACTGTAACTTTATATGTGCATGTCTCATATGAGTGAACTTTAGGGTTCTGAAATAAAAATGTTCTGAGAAAATGGCTTTTATGTCATGAACTCCATTTATTGCATTTGCAGTTGCACAGTTCAATGCACTTTGCCGCAGTTCCAGGAAAAAAAAAGAAGTAATTCTAAAGTGCTTTTAAAAATTTTAACATTTGTGAATTTGGCCTGAATAGCTGGACGTCAATCACTGTTATAGATTTGTCATGCAAGCCTCTGTGGTGTGATCAGGGTTTCTGAGCTGAGACCAGAGACACATGCAGCACACAGCAGTCATTTGGCTGATATGGTAGACCTCAAAGAGGTTAGCCAAGCATGTGCAGTGCAGATTGGGGACTAATGTTCAGAGACATATAAATCAGATTGTACTGTAACTTTATATGTGCATGTCTCATATGAGTGAACTTTAAAAAATAAAAATTTTTCTGGAATGAAAATGTTCTGAGAAAATGGCTTTTATGTCACGAACTCCATTTATTGCATTTGCAGTTGCACAGTTCAATGCACTTTGCCGCAGTTCCAGGAAAAAAAAAAGTAATTCTAAAGTGCTTTTAAAAATTTTAACATTTGTGAATTTGGCCTGAATAGCTGGACGTCAATCACTGTTATAGATTTGTCATGCAAGCCTCTGTGGTGTGATCAGGGTTTCTGAGCTGAGACCAGAGACACATGCAGCACACAGCAGTCATTTGGCTGATATGGTAGACCTCAAAGAGGTTAGCCAAGCATGTGCAGTGCAGATTGGGGACTAATGTTCAGAGACATATAAATCAGATTCTGAGATAACAAACACAACAAAAGTAAAATGACACTTTTCAAATGGCAATTCTTTTTCTGGCATTTAATCATCATTGACGATTTTGTTGCCAGACAGATAGATCAAGAGATATTAAAATCACGACACATGAAGTCATATGGTGACGTATGTAAGATTTTGAGCAGCAGCTCAGCACTCAGCCTCGGTGTGCTGTTCACACACATTCTGAGTGACACAGAACTCTGGAATTCACAGAACAGTTAGTGATCGCTGTCATTTCTCCTGATTGGTGTAAATGCTAAACAATAGTAGATGACCCATACCATACTCATGAAGAGCAGTGAAAAATAATACTCTTTCTAAACTGTAAAAAATTTTTGTAATTTTAAAGACTGTAAAAATGTCACAGCAAAAACTGTTAATTGGCTGTAAGTTCCCTTACTATTTTCACATAGAGTTTATGGTACAATTTATGTTGTTAAATGAATGTTTATTGCATAATGTTAGTGGCATGTGTTACCATGATGGTGTTTTGTATTTGTGTGTATGACACTATGCACCTTTACTCAAGTTTGTGGAAATGCTACTTGTGATGAACTTTGATTTGTCATGTGGCTTTCTTTTTACCACCTTATGATGATGTCAGTATATATTAAAGGTGGTGTGGCTTTTTTGTTTGTTTGTTTTGTAAATTACAGTTTTAAACTGAAAAGTTTACAGGTTGTTCTGTAAATATAGTATACATTTTGCTCTCTCTTTTTAAAACCACATCTGCATTTTTTTCTGTAAAAAGGCAAGGATTTTTAAAAATGAACCATCTTAAACATCCCAACGTAATTATAACTTTTCAGAAATAAGTATACACATCAAAATAACAAGCCAAGATTAGCTGTGATAAGACAAAATGTCCAAAATTATTTTGATACAAATCACCATTCAGAACTAGAGCTGAGAAGGAGGAGGTGTGACATTCTGAGATGATGAATGGAGCAGACAGAACAAAATCAGATAGCCGAATTATTCTTGAAACTCAGAGGATAGGCCTACAAGATGAGATGTAAGCAAACAAAGAAATGAACAAATAAACTATTCCTTCAAGTAAATTTAATGGTTGGAAATCTGTCTCAGACACATGTTAAAGGGGTCATATGATGCGATTTCAATTTTTCCTTTCTCTTTGAAGTGTTACAAGCTCTTGGTGCATAAAGAAGATCTGTAAAGTTGCAAAGAATAAAGTCTCAAATCCAAAGATATATTGTTTATAAAAGTTCATCATATGACCCCTTTAATGTTTAATGACTATACTGCCACTAAGTGGACATGTGCGAGACACATCCTTATTATACTGATGTAAAAAAGTAAATACATAGCGCTTTTGGTGACTTTTGTGGAAAGGAAAATAAATGAGTATTGGTCTAAATGTTTATGCATGTAACAAAACCGATTCATAATGTGTTTTTTTTTTTAAACAAGAAAACTATGACAAAGAATTAGGACTACTGATCATTTCATAATAGCAAGAAAATAACCAGTTACCCCACATAAATGTATTACGTGACATAAATTAAAACAAATAAGTTGTCAGGGGGATGATTCATTAAAATGAATTAACAAGGGAATTAACAATGGATTTTAAGTATTTTATATATTCATTTTTTTCTTTCTTGCATCAGTTAAATTTTAAACTGAATTTTTAAACTTTAAATCTGTTTGTGAATTTGTAATTCTCGTTCTTAAACGGTATAATAAAAAAGCCAAATCTTTATTTTTGTTTGTCCAAATATCATTAGATAGCCTACTCATGTCAATGCAAAGGAATGTGATGTCCTCTCTATTTTAACGAGATGTGTATTATTATTAATTTTTTAGGTTCAAGTTTTTACGACCTTACTCAATCACCCTAAGCTTTTTCAGACTAGTTCATAAACGGTTTTCCTTTAAAAAAAAAGTTTGTCGCTATGAATGTATGCTACCTACATAAGCTCACTGGTGTTATTTTGAAAAGTAGGAAGATCCTCCCAGCAGACTGTAACTGGCTTCAGTATAATCGCGAGTGTGCACGAATAATTTACTTTCCTTCCGGATTTTGCCTTTACGTGATCAGGTTTGTTTATATGCACCGAATCTACGCGAGCCTTTGTCGGAAAAAAACACGTCTTGTAAACACTGAGAGAGCAGATCACAGTGTTTGGTCATGCAGCGCGAGCGTTTCTAAACACCATGCAGCCGTTTGACGACGTGGTTTCATGTTCGTCCATAAATCATAAAGGTTTTTCGCAAACTTGCTAAGAACTAAAATGAGGAGTCGCAGCAATTCTGGGGTTAAACTTGACAACTACGCGCGGATAGTTAATCAGACTATTCTGCGTCACCAAGTGAGTGTCTGCATTTCTACTGCTTTCAACTGCTTCACTAAATAGTTTGTGTTTTTACTAAACATGTCTTCATTCTTTATATGCAGATATTTTTGAGCTACCATAGTTCTTGGGTTTTTATTAATGTAGAGAGAAGAGTAGTGCAGTTTAGTGTTGTGTTAAAAACGTACTATTTTTATGTATAGAAAGATAGTCTACAAGTGTATGTTATATCAGGGGCATGGCTTTTGCCACCAAAATAAAAAAAAAAATCTTAATTTGTTAATTACTAATTATTCTGAATTTATTTAATTATAGGGCTGGTTTCACAGACAGGGCTTAGACTAAACCAGGATAGTTCAATCAGGACATTTAAGTAATTTTTTATAAACGTGGCTTAGGGGGGAAACATTACTGGTGTGCATCTTGAGACAAAACAAAGACACTGATATATTTTAAGATCAGTCTGCAAATTTCTTTCAGTTTAAACAGCTCAGACTTGCATTTTAGTCTGGGACTAGGCATAAGCCTGGTCTGTGAAACCGGGAGATAGTGTATTTAATTATTTACTATTTAATTCTAAATTCATTTCAAGTATTTGACTTAAGTAAAAGACATGCTGCGTGTTTTTATGTGGATAAAATAATGTACCTTCACAAGGGAAAACTGCCCATGAAAATAAATTCAAACGTAATTTCTTACACGGGTGTATATACAGTACTATTTAAAAAGTCTCTTATGCTCACCAGTGCATTAAGCTGATGAAAACTACAATAAAACAAGGAATATTGTGAAATATTATTACAATTTAACGAAATGTTTTCTATTTTTATATATTTTAAAATAGAATTTAATCCTTAAACTTTTGAATGATAGATTACATATATATATATATATATAAATAAAATATAGTTATAGTATGTGTGTTTGTGTTTATGTGGTAAAAGTAATGCTTGCATATTTATTATACATATAGTGCAGTACCTGGAGCACTGGATATTTTTAACTAGCTATATTGATAACTTGTAGGACCCAGTGACAGGTCTGTTACCAGCAAGCAAAGAGCAGCCTGATGCCTGGGTGAGGGACAATGTCTACAGCATCCTGTCTGTCTGGGCTCTCAGTTTGGCTTACAGGAAGAACGCAGACCGCGATGAAGACAAGGCTAAAGCCTATGAGCTTGAGCAGGTACAAATTTGGATTTTTTTAGTATTAATTCTGTTGTTACATGAATGAACTGATTGAGTACTCTTATTAATCCAGTACAGCTTTTAAGATATTTGTTTAGTAACCACATTTGTTCATGAGAACATATTATACAGAACCCAGAAAGAACCCACAGACTCATTATGGTCTGCTGGATGAATATTTGTGATCACATGAGCACGTGTGGCAACTGGTGTTTCATTTGAATGAACTTACATTAAAAGCATACCAAAATATTCACCACGTCCACTGTAGTGTAGTATTTACTGCCATGCATGTTTTTTTTTAAAGAAAGGTCAGTTGTCTTTTCATGACTGTGTATGTGTCAGTGTATCTAAGCTGACTCTTTACAGTGGCTCTGAAGTGTGTCATGTTACTCTTGCCTGTGCTATTAAATGAAGAGCTGAAAGGTCACAGTTGAGCATGTGTCCAAGTGTTGTTTTTAAAGGCAGTCTGTGTGTCTTGATCTCTTTTTTTCTTCTTTCAGAGTGTGGTGAAGTTAATGAGGGGAATTCTTCAGTGCATCATGCGACAGGTACATTAACCCTCAGCCTCCACACTACATGCTTAACAAATAAAAAAGATACAGTAGTAAGATCTACAACAGCCAGACTTGTCTGTACAATCCAAAATAATCATTTATAGCACCTTCCTTTTTTATTTACGTTTTATTTACCATTCTGTTTATCTGCCTGTAATTTAGGCCATAAGCCAATAAACATGCATGCATACACTACCCTTCT